CACAGTGTGAAATCCTGTCTGACTTTATTTAACCCAGATTTTCCCACTATATATATATATATATATTTATTCTTTACTAATAGGAACACATTGGAGAATACTGATCTAACCCCAAGCTGATATTACCACAAAATTAAATATTAGAGAAAAAAGGTGCAAATACAGACTTTTATCATTTATTTGTTTTGTGATCTTAGACAAGATATTGTTTATTGACCTCAATTTTATCAGCATTAAAATGAATATGGCTCAGCTGGTATGGCTCAGTGGTTGAGCATCGACCCGTGAACCAAGAGGTCACTGGTTTGATTCCTAGTCAGGGTTCATGCCCAGGTTGCGGGCTCAATCCCCAGAAGGGGTATGCAAGATATTCCTGTCTCTCGCTATTGAAGTTACTCCTTTTAATTTTTATTCCTGGGAAGCTAAGACATAGCTCTGATGAGTAAAGTATACAAATAATACCACTTTCATTTATCTACTTTTGCATGCATTTTTCAGTTTATCACTTAAAGATCATACATTTTCAATTGCGTGAGGGATATTGAACACTGCCACCAAAGATCTTCTAGTACTCATCTTTGGTATCTCTGTGTTGTAAAAAGGAAAATCTAAAACAGATTGTCCCAAGGCTGGTCCCATCACTTGTAGGAAGTGGTCATCCCAAAGTTTCATTCCAAAGCTCATCCTCTTTCCATTGTAATCAGGTCTTTCAAATTGGTTTTCATGAAGTGCCAATGTGTATGGCTCTGCTGACATGTGCTTGAGATCCTAAAAGACACATTAACAAATAGATGATTGATAAAATGAGACAGAGGTACTAAATCATGATTTTAGTTATTTTCATGGGCTCTTAAAAAAATGAGTACTTTTGGTAGCATGGATGGCTACCTCCTAAGAGGAATTACCAAGATGTATCAGAGTTCACGTTTATATTGTTCGATTTGAATTAGTATCATAGTATGCCAATTGAATTTTTTTTTTTAAGTTTTGTTATGAGATTTAAAACAAAACAAAATACAGAGCTGGACTTAATTAGGAAATTGTATCTTTCTTCCCAGTGAAGGGTAAATAACATACTATTATGAAAAGCGATTTCTCAGGCGTGTGTGCATGGAGAAGAGTGGTAGGCAGATCGGGTCTCTCAGAGGACCCTGCTGGAAAGGATGTCCCACTCTCTCAAGTCGGAATCTCAGTAGCATGTACCACACAGTTCCCTTTGTGAGCACAGGTTGTTGTCCGGAAAACAACAGAATGATGTTATGTTAGTGGGTTTTATAGTTTTATCGATATTCTAATATGTATTAATACATTTAATTTCAGGGTTGGATAACTTTTTTTTTAATAAAACTTTATTGTTGAAATTATTACAAATGTCCCCTCCCCTCATCCTCCCATCCCACATTGACCCTCTCCAGCCTTCCTCTGCCCCACCCCAGGCCTTTACCCTATTGTTGGTCAAGATCTTTATTATTCTACAGATCCCCTAATGGGAGTCCATTGTGAGTTACAGAATCAGCCTTGGTAATGTTTATCACTGGACAGGCAGAACCAAGACTTATTTCAAATAACTAAAAACATGTGACTACACATACCATTTTAATGTTTTTAGGTATTCATGTGTTGTTTTCTTAAACAGCTGAACTTATCATTGAAGGATAAAATAAGTTTTCCATAAAATGAATAAAATTGGGGGGGAAAATCACATTTCCTCATCATTTGTCTTTATTATGTCATACTTAACACTGATTTTTAAAGATTACATATTTTAAAAAGAATTTTGCCCCAAAATACAGGGATGGGCAAAAATAGATTAACCTGGTAGGAAACCAGGTTATCTGAATGATCAACTCTCTCTTTTCCCCTTCACGTTTTCTTTTCCTTTCTTTCTTTTGGATAAGTTTTATAGATATAAGATGTTTAGAGTCTCCTCTTAGTTTATATTTATGGTATGTTATTTGAAATAGTTTTCCAACATAGGGTTGTGGAAATTCCATGATTTTTTTTCTTTTTAAATAAGGTATGAACATTGATCAAATATGGGAAACACTAGATATACCCTAGTATTTGCTTGTTTGTTTTAGCAAAAAACATACATAGCACTTCACCAATATTACTGAATCTCATCAATTCTAAGATGTTCTTTGTCTTCCCTACAATTAAACTTTCCAAAATCAGTATGTAATTCAATGCCATTTTTTCCCCATTGGTACACAACATAACAGTGCCTCCAGCATATTAGATGAAGAAACATGTAGCTCATTTAATCCTCACATTGACCATTGTAGAAGTACTTTTGAGGTGTAAAAACTCAGGCATTGAGATATCAGTGAACTTGTCTAAGGTCAAAGAGCTCATAAATGGTAACGCCAGTCTTCCGATTCTGATAGTCTAATTAGGCAGTTTGTACTCTAATCAAAATATAACTACAATGCCGGCAACAAACATACTGTTAATAATGTACAAATTAAAATTTGGCAATTGTTATTACCTTAGTGTTACTGCTTTGCAAGTTACATACTAAATTGCCTTGATTTCTGATTAATATCCCTTGACATTCTTACCAAGGACTGCCACTATGTCATTTTAAGACTGGAAGATTGACAAGTACATGAAGCACAATGAATCTCAGAAGTTCCAACTGGGAATTGAGTTCGTCTGAATTCATAATGTGATAGAAACTGTTCTGTCTCCATCGGTGATTAATTTATAATAACTGGGTCCATTGTCATTTTCCCATTTAGATTTTTCAGTTTGGAAAAGCAATGGAGTGCATTTTACATGCAAAAGAGAATCAGAGCAGCCTTCAGAAAGGCTGGAACACAGATCTTGAGGACCCACCAGAGAATTGCCAAGGGTGATAGATGTCAAAACAGAATCTACTCATGGGGACAATGGGAAAGGTTACAGTTTACAGTAAGGTTTTTGATGCTTCTTTTTTGTTAGGAACTTCTTGGCTTTAAACAACTGACTGAGACAGAAGGGCAGAGTGAGAAGAAGGCAGAATCAGATGTTTTCATGTCATATAGAAATAGCAGCTTGTAGGAACCCTCTCGAGTGTAAGAATGTGCATTAACTGCCACAATTTATTGCATGAGACACAGATTTGGTCGGTGGCCATCTGTGTATTGTTTAAGGAAAAAGAAAGTTTATCTCCCACTTGGTCAATGTGGCCTATTCTTTCTTTCTTTTTTTAAAAAAAAATATATTTTATTGATTTTTTACAGAGAGGAAGGGAGAGAAAGAGGGGCAGAGCTAGAAACATTGATGAGAGAGAAACAACAACCAGCTGCCTTCTGCACACCCCCTAACGGGGATGTGCCCGCAACCAATGTACATGCCCTTGACCGGAATCAAACCTGGGACCCTTCAGTCTGCAGACCGACGCTCTATCCACTGAACCAAACCGGTTTTGACCTATTCTTTCCTTCTATTTTTATTTTTTAAGATATTTTTAAACAAAAAGAAATGGTACCAGACATGCATTGTTATGACAAAAACAGCTTGTTTCTTGAGGATATTAAACATTAGCTGCAGTCATGGTATATCAGTTAGCTTTTACTGTGTAACAATCCCCCCCAACCCTTTCCCCCAAAACACACATACACACACAACCGCAAAAACAAAACCCTAGTTGCTTTAAAACATCTACTTATTTAATCCACGGATCTTCAGATTGGCAATTTGGGGAAACTTTAGCTTAGTAGTTATTCTGGTCTCAACTGGTCTCACTTATGAGCCTGTGGTCAGCTGTTAGGTTGGCCAGCTACTGGCTTTTCTCAGCCAGCTTCAAGTATGACAGACAGTTCATCTCTGTTCCATGTCTCTCATATTCTGTCAGGTTAGCCTGCAGTTTTCACATGGCAGCTGGGCAGGTTTCTAAGGGACTGAGTGAAAGTTTGCAAGCTTCTTTAGGCTTAGCTTCAGAGCGGGCACAGCATCTTTCTGCCTCATTGTTTAGCTAAAAGCAGGGAAGATAAACAGACTTCATCTTTTGATTGGAAGAGATGCAAATACATATTGCCAAGAACAAAAAATATGAGATCAATGGCCCATTTTGCAATCTACCACAGTGAACTGTCTTGTGAGCTGATTATATATATCCATTCTATATAATAAAAGACTAATATGCAAATTGACTGAATGGCAGAGTGACCAGTCGCTATGACACATACTGACCACCAGGGGGCAGACACTCAATGCAGGAGCTGCTTCCTAGTGGTCAGTGCACTCCCATAGGGGGAGGTCTGCCAGATCACAACTGGCAAGTGCAGCAGTGGTGTCAGAAGCCTCTTCCATCTCTATGGCAGCGCTAAGGACCCCTCAGGGGATGTCTATGGGGAGCGGGCCTAAGCCTGCAGGTGGTCATACCCCGAGGGGTCCCTGACTATGAGAGGGTGCAGGCTGGACTGAGGGAACCCCTCCCCCACCAGTGCATGAATGTCATGCACCAATGCTCTAATATATATATATATTTTTTTTTCTTTTTTTCTGGTCCTTCTTGGTACCATTTATACATTTATTCTACCAGAGCATCTACCACCATATTGTGTGTGTGTGTGTGTGTGTGTGTGTGTGTGTGTGTGTAAGAGAGAGAGGGAGAGAGAAAGAGAGATTAAAGAACACAAAAACTATAATTTTCCAAATGAGTGACCCTTTCCATAGCACTTTACTACCTAATAATATCTATTGTATGATTACATGATATTTATAAAAAATTATACCATGTTTTCAAATTCTTCTTTCAACCCACCAAGCTTGTTAACAGTATATATAAGGACTCATTCTAATGTGATGGGAATGCTAGAGAGGATAAATTTTTGACATGGCAAAAGGATTGGGACTCCTAAGATATGAAGACACGTGGGATCTGTTAGTTCAGGGAAGAGATGTCTCAGAGAAAGCATCGTTGTCCTGAGACATAAGTTAGACAAGGAGCAAATTGGTTTGATTTGGCCTCAAAATTCTAAGCTAGTACCAAGACTTGAAAAGTTCAAGAGCCAGCCCTCAGTTCTCTTTCCCATCGGATCTGAACACCGATCTTGGTGGTCATAAAGGAGGAAAAGTAATTCTGAAGCTGGCCTCACAGTGCTTGTAATCTGTGGGCTAGTTTTAAACAAGGAAGAAAAAAAAGGAGAAAAAACTGTAAGAGTCAGGCTATTGCTTCCTATATGAAAAAAGTTATTTTAAACCATTAGGGCTGTTCAGAACTGAGAAGGGAGGTATCAGCTGGTGGTTAATGGTGGTTAACGGTAAATCTGGAGTCAGATTAATGTGAGATCAACTCCTGTCTCTTGTGCTTAAGATCTGTGATTTTGGACAAGTTAATTAATCTCCCTCATCTAAAATAGGACTAAAAAAGTTTTCACTGTATAGTGTTATTATGAGGATTCAATTACAACATTTATGGAAGTTCTCATTATATTAGCTGGCAAGATAAATGGTCAAAATGGTGAATAATTAAGAGTAAAAATGTCTATATGCCTGAAACTGATGGTTGGTGAAATACGAGGCAGTAAAGAGCACTCACACTTATTAATACATGCTTCCTGGGTAAGTTGCACCTGTCTATGCTATTAGAGATTTTCTGTTGCAATTGTTGCAAGTGCCCCAAGCAATTCAGTAAAAAAAAAAAAAAAAAAAAAGCTTTTTCTTCTATCTATAAAACCACATTATTACTATTTTGGTTCAGGCCTAATTACCATAGATTGTAACCTTATTTTCTCTTGTTGGAGTGATCAATAATTCCAAGAGTGCAAAGATGTCTACTACTAACCAAGACTTTATCTGAAAAATCATTGTTTTAATGATCATAACAGCTCATTTTCTTTCTCTTTGCCAACATCATTCTTCACCTGACCATTGCTTTAGGTGACTTAAGAAAATCCAATTAAAGGAGAAAATGCAATGCCCATAGGAGATCAGACTAATCGTGGATGGTGCCCAAAGCAATGGCTTCTGATTACCAGTCTGCTAGAGTGGGTCTTGGGTTTGGAAACAAATCACTCAGCCAATGGCTACCTTATCAGTTTGTGTAAATTGAGGCTATTTGAGTCAGGGGCATTGCAGAGCTTTAGCTGAGCTCCTAATGTGCTTGGGAAAAGTAGACGAAATATGCTAATAGCATTACTGGGAAGCTAGGCCATTTGAGTGATCACATGCTGATTTTTGTCAATGTAGGCTAGCAATCACAAGAATTCAGTGGGAGGGGAAAATCCATTTCCTGTGTCCAACTACCTTGATTAGAGGAAACACCTGTGAAAATTCCTACTTAATACCAGTAATAAGCCAGCATAATACCATAGCAATCTTTTGAATAATAGCTGCTATTCTAAATATATATGTATTATATATTCATATTCTATATATTTTTTATATTCTATATGAATATATATATTCTGTATCAAGCATGTCAAACTTATGGTCCATAGGGAGCATTCCTTGTTTATTTGGGCCGTGTTAGCCTTTGAGTTTTACATACTTGTTCTATATAAATATATTCTATATGCATGTATGTATGAATATATACATATATAATATGCAGACAATGAGTATATATGTTCATATTCTATATATTATTTTTACATACATAATTCATATAGATTAATAATAATCATATCTATATATATAAAAGCCTAAGTGACTGTTGGGTCATTTGACTGGTAGCTATGATGCACACTGACCACCAGGGGGCAGACACTCAACACACAGGCATGAAAACATGGAACAGACTGATGAATCTCAGAAGGAAGGGCGGGAGGGGAGAGAGCGGGAATAGATGAACCAAAGATCTTATATGCATACTAGAGGCTAAGTGCACTGATTCGTGTACCAGTGGAGTACCTCAGCCTGTCCTGTGGGGATCAGGCTGAAATGGCAGTCTGACATCCCCTGAGGTGGGAGATGGGTGGCAGTAAAGTGCAGGGCAGCAGTGGAATGGAAAGCATGGGGCAGCAGGGCGAGAGGGAAAGCACAGAGGGGGCAGGTGTGTGGTGATGGCTGTGGGAGGGAAAGACTGGGGAGTGGGGCAGAGACAGCCAGAGGGAAGTGAAAGCACTGGGTGGCAGCGGGAGGGAAAGAGCTGAAAGTGGGGGTATGGTGGAGGTGTAAGGCAAAGCATGGGGTGGAAGGTGGGGGGCAGAGGCGGCAGGGAAAGTGCAGGGGGGCGAAAGAGGTGGCAGTGGCAGGAGGGAAGGCTGCCAGAAACCCTGTTTTTGCAGGACTCTAACTGCAACGGGTCTCTAGTATATATAAAAATAAATAAAGTGGAAACCAATTTACAGAGTGTGCTAAAAAATGACAATAATTATTACATAGTCTTTTAAAAATATATTTTTATTGATGTCATAATGACATAGAGGATGGGAGAGGGAGAGAGAGATTGAAACATCAATAATGAGAGAGAACCTTTCATTGTTTCCTTCTGCACACCCATGACCAGCATTCAACCGGGACCCCTTCAGTCCACAGGCCAACACTCTATCCACTGAGCAAAACCGGCTAATGGTATTACATAGTCTTAAAGGTTGTTTATAAAAAGCAAAACACTAAAATCAAATAGTTTCAACCACACCAGCCAAAGGCATGGATTTTTAAAGTGTAATACCTTGGCTTTAAGTCTACTCACTACCTAAGCTACACTCTAATAGCCACTAGCCATGGATAGCCACTAAGCACCTGAAATGTGCCTACTTCAAATTGAGTGTAAAATACTGGATTCTGTAGATTTAGTACAAATACAGGATTGAAAATACCTCATCAACATTTTTATGTTGCTTTTGAAAAAACGTTTTGAATAAATTAGGTTAAATAAATTATATTTTAAAAGATTCTTTTTTACTGTTTTTAATGTGACCACCGGAGAATTTTAAATTACATATTGGACTTGGCGTTTGTAACTTTTCTTTCTTTTGTGCAGTGCTGGGCTAGGGTTTCATTACTCAGAAGGAGGCCCTCAGACCACAGGCATCTGCATCCCCTGAGATCTTATTATAATAGAAATGCAGAACCTCAGGCATTGGCCCAGACCTTTTGAATTAGAATCTTTATTTTAACAAGACTCCCAGGTAATTCATTTCATATTAACGTTTGGGAATCATTGGGTCAGACTGCAGTGGAGCTGGAATAATTGATTCGGAGGAAAGGGCATCTTGAAAGTTCTCAGTACCCATGTTTCATCTGTAATGTCATTCTGACTTCAAGGTTCTGCTTCTTCTTTTTGTAATCTTTTAAAAATTGATTTTAGATAGAGGAAGGGAGAGAGAGAATAATAGAGAAATGTGGATGTGAGAGGGAAACATGAATCAGTTGATCCTGCATGCCACCTGACAGGGGATCTAACCTGAAATCTGGGTATATGCCCTGACAGAGAATCAGTCCCACCATCTTTTCACCCAGCTGAGCCACACTGGCCAATACATGACTTCCAGTCTCTTTGGTGCATGCAGATTACCATTGTCCACTTAGATCCTCCATCACATCCTATCGGTGATTTCATAGTGGAAATCAATGGAAAGAATGTAACTCAAGTACAGTAGCAGAAAATTCACCTATGGTCAACTTTTTAAGAGTAGTTTTTTGGAAAGCTAGAATTTTTCCGTAGCTCATTTTGACTTGCTTTTCGTGAATGGTGCTGCATGATGATGGGACGTTGGAAATCCAGGAACCACGTTCTCTTTTTACCCAAATAAATCTGACCACCAAATCTCACCCTCCTTTGTAGATCCCCAAATGCCTTTTCCTGTGACACAGCAAGAACTGCACTTCCACTGGCAACAACAGGTTGAATCACTGGTCGTGAAGTTGAATTCACTCTCTACCCCTTACTTCTCCCCAGGGATTAGGTGACACCACAGGTCTCAAAGCCCCAGTTCTCCTACCATATGCATATAGAGCTGCTCATTAGCTTAACCTATCTAGAAACCACCACAAGATTCCTTATTAACATAAGGTCAGGTGTGGGCCCACCATGAATAAGGTAGTTCACTTGGGAAGTTCCATGGCATTCGAGGTACCCTTGCAGGAACTGGGAATAAAATCAGTTAAGTACTTACGACAGAGGAATTGCTCCATCCCCAGTGCCTATAACAATGGCGCCTGGCAGATAGTGGTTACTCTTTAAATATTTGGATAAATAAGCTCCCAGTGTCTAGCATAGATCTGGCATTGAGAGCATAATAAAAATTGTGTTGGTACAATGATTATGCTTTTAACTCTTCAGTTTGACATTCTGTCTCAGAGTTTGGCTAGAGATTCAACCCTCTTAGCAAGTAGCTTTCTAATGCCACAGAGAGGTAAGGTATTGTTAAACAGAATTAATTACAATAATGGAGGTGAAGTACATAAATCTTTTACTACTTCCAATGCCAATGCCATGTTAATGGAGGGAAATCAGCCCTGTAAAATGGTATTTGAGACTTATTCTCTTATAATTAATTAGTTACAGTTTACCCTCATTATGCACTTCCAGGGAGGGGGAAAAACAACAATTATTAATACTTTAAGAGAACTCCCATGGTTTAATTTATGTGTTTTTTTAAATGATTATTTTGGTGCCCTCAAAAAGAGCACTACTCTATCAAGAAATGCTTGTTAAATACTTCGAATCATAAATTATTGGTTGGTATAGCAAAAATGTTACTTCTGTTTCTCAGGAGAAGCAGTGAGAGGGGAGTAAAACAGGAGTTTTTAGTTTAAGATGAAAACAGGCATGAGATTGAACCAGAGGCCTAATGTATTGATAGGTTGAGAATCCTGGTTTCTGTGACAGTGAAGGGAGCTGGCAGAAAATGAGGAGCGAGGATAGGGTAGGCCACACAAAGTGAAAGGTTTGTGGTTTGGGGATCAACCTTCCATCGTTCGTGAGTTTAAGGCCAACCTATTAGGAAGTTCATGGAAAATAAATGAGCTGGTGCCTTCATGTTTGGAAATCGATAATCCTGTTCTAGTATCTGTTAGCTAAGTCAGTGGTCGGCAAACTCATTAGTCAACAGAGCCAAATATCAACAGTACAATGATTGAAATTTCTTTTGAGAGTCAAATTTTTAAACTTCTTCTTATGCCACTTCTTCAAAATAGACTCGCCCAGGCCGTGGTATTTTGTGGAAGAGCCACACTCAAGGG